AAGAGCCGGCGATGGTTCTTCAGTCACCCCAAGGGTCTTGGACCGAGGAGCCAAACCCCTCATCCTCTGCCAGGGTTTTCCTCTGTGGGCCGTAGGACCTGTCTGAGAGGGAGCCAGGGAGGTGTCTGCGGCTGTGGGTGGAGGAGGACAGCCCTCGTCCCTGGCCTGCTCCAGTCACCGCGACACCCCCCTTCCTGGCCAGCCCGAGCGTGAACTCGCCCCCTCTCTTCCCTCCGTCCCTTCCTTCAAAAAAAAAAAAAAAAAAAAAAAAAAAAAAAAGCAACGAACAAAACCCAAAACAAAACAAAAATCCTACACCACAAGTACTAAACGTGTTGTAGGAAAATGGCAAGCCCCACCTGCGGGTAAGAGTCCGCCCTGTCCCGCGGTCCCTCGGCAAGGAACCGGCCAGCCGCGGTGCGGAGCCGCCCCGGTGCGGGGTAGTGCGGCTGCCCGGGCGGTGCGGGGGTCCCGCGGGCGGCAGCCCCGGTGGGGCTGGAAGCTCCTTGGTAGAGCTTGCCGGCCCACCGGCGTCTCTGCTCGCCCCCGGAGGAGGGTGTGCTGCCTGTCCCGGAGCGGTGCGATGTCCCGGCACTGACCGCCGTGACACCCGGATGGGAAACGCGTCATTTGCTCCCTCGTCCACCTTGCTCCCCGGTTAATCACGTTGTTTTCCCCGGCAGCGGACAACGCGAAGGAACAGTCCGCTTTATTGCGGCTTTCAGAAAGGTTGGGAGAGGCAATATCCTTGATTATGTGGCCGGGAAAAAAAGACTTGTTCTTTATTTTTCCCATCACCTAGGGAAAAGCCATGCTGCTCGATGGAGACACTACTGGCAGCGCCCTGGATCTCCAGAAGACGTGGGGTCTGGCTTTCCGGCCGTGCGGAGGAGCACCCCTGTCTTTGTCTTCGGAGCCGTTCCAAAGGAGCGGCTGCCGCGGTGGTTTGGTGCTGCGGACCCGGGAGAGCCGCTGGAAAAGGGGCCGGGATTCCCCGCGGCCCCGGCCCGGGGCCGCCCTCGGGGCTCGTCGCCGTCCCACTGACAGGAGAAGCGGAGCGGAAAAAAGCCTGCCAAGGCCTGCCGGGGAGAGGCCCTTAACCTCGGGCCACCTTTGGCCCCTGCTCCCGGGGCAGGTGCTGCACTGCCGGGGGGGGTGCCTGTGCCCCGGTATCTTCTGCTTCTCCTCCTCCCGAGAAAGTGTTGCCGATTTCTACCTGAGTGTGTTTGTGTGTGTGTGTATGTGCGGAGGGGGGGCAAATCAACGTGGTTTCCTGTTTTAATACCCTGCGAGCGAGCAGGAGGTAGCTAAATATAGGCAGCCTCCCGGCTGCAGAGTTGGACTCTGCGCCTGTGCGACTGTTTAATACACAAACACAAGCGCCAATGGAGACATATGCAAAGATATACACAATTTACATTACATTTCAACAATCGAATTTCTTGGAGCTGCGGTATTTCCCCCCTCTCCCCCTTGTCTTTGCAAGAATTTTTTTAAGACTACAGCTTGCCCATGGTCAGATGGAAAATTATTCCCACGGCCCCTGTACGGTTCGGGGTTTGTGGGAGAGACCGAAATTGGGACACATCGTTAGGGAGATTATTTTTACGTAGTAGCCATGTATGTGCTGATGAGCCGAATGTGCGTTTGAGGGTGTGTGAAGAGAGCATGTTAGAACCCAGGTTCTGCTGATAATTTAAGCACCGAAAATACAGAGTAATTCCTTTGGCTTCAGTACAGTTACATGCGTGTAACTGGAGTTTTTGCCATTAAGAAAAGATAAATGATGCCGAGAGTTTGCTTTATATTTCAAAAATCAACATTATTAAGAAAAAGCAGGAATAGAAACGCCTCAAATTCCAGAAAAATTCCATTAAATTATTAATTACATTTCCCCAGTATCATACACTGACGTTTCTCAAGTATCACATTTTGTCAATGTCAAAAGAAGACACTGTCGATGCATAAATGTTCGATATTAAACACCAATAATAAAATTCCGGGCAACTTTATTCAGATCAGCTTTTCCAGCAACTTCTATCTCGAGTAAAATGCACGTTAGTTTTACCTGGTTCATAGGAAATTAATTTGACACTTTATTCTGTTACCCGGTGTTACAACCCAAGGAATCTCTAATAACATTCACTTCCCTTTTATGTCAAGAGGTTCCCTAGAGCATTGCATCTGTTAGCAAGCACAAATCAAAATAATACAACACAGTGACCAAAGGGAAAAAATAATTAGGCTTAGAGATAGTCAACTCCCTCGAACAGGGCGCCCGATAGGAACCACAGCCTATCGGGCTGCCACCCCCGCCGGGGACAAAACCTCTGCTATTGTGAGCTGTACCATCGAACCTGAGATGGGAGTCAGCGGCTCGGTGCCTTGTGTGGGGCTGCAGGCAGAGAAACGCGCCCAGGGGCCAGGAAAAAGCAAACCGCGGGGCAGCAGTGGCACCTCTTTACCTCCCTAAGTGCACGGGGTGTCCAGATTCTGCTGTCCAAAAGTTTCATTTTTCACGGAAGGAAAGTGCTGGGAATGTCGGAAGGTCGGAAGGAAATAGTTACAAAAAAAAAAGAAGGAGACAGGAGCTTCGGATCGGGCCAAATAAATGTCAGCCCTCCCGTATCTGCCAAGGGACTGCTTTCTGGAGCACTCCTTTCGGCAGCAGGACCGCCGACACGCCCGGCAGAGTAAAACCAAACCCAAAACATTTACTCCGGTGTCACGACGGCTGTCGGCTTTGGGAACAGAGAGCTCGTCCCCAGCCCGTGCTGGGGCAGCCCACGGGCAGCCACTGCTGCCGAGTGCCGCTGGAGGTGCCAGCGCAGGGACTTCTAACCCGCGGGGTGCCCGAGCCTGGGCAAAGCGAAATGACAGCAAGGGAGGCCAGAGCGAGGGGCTGACAGGGAAAGAGCCCGGCTGCGCCTTGGGACGGCTTGCAGGCACAGCGGCCAGGAAGCGATGGGGGGGCAGGGGCTTCCTGCAAGCCACTCCGTGCCCGGGAGCCGCAGCGAAAGCCCGTGCGAACCAGCGGGAAAGGAGAGAAGCCGGTGGTGATGGAGAACCACCGGCGCCCAGGCAACGCGGCCGCCTGTGAGCGTGCTCCGTCAGGGCTCCATCGGCGCTGAGAAACAGCTGCAGCCATCACCGGGTCCGGTCCCTCCGAGCGCCACTGCCCGGCCCCGGGCCCCCGGGGGAAGCTGTGCACCCCAGGTCAGCCTGCCCTCCCCTTCGGCCAGCGATGGCCTCGGCGGAGACGCCCGAGGACAGCAGCCGACGGCGAGGAAGAGCCGCCAGCAGCGCGCCGAGGGCCCGGGCTCTACAGAGGCTTGGAGGAGACTCAGTCCAAGGCGGGAGGCTGCCCCAAGTGGCTATCGCGGCAGTGTCGGGATACAGACGGCCTGGGCAGTTTCGTCGAGGTCGCCGAAGCCCCGCTCTTGCAGCCCAATCCTGAGCCCTCGCCCCCGGTCTCTCTGCCAGGCTCCGGCAGAGAGAAAACAATCCACCGACCCACGCACCTGCCCCAGGATCCGCCACGGTTTTAAACGGGCACGGCCCGCCGTAGAGGGGCCGCAGCCTGCACGGTGAGGCTGCCACCGACCGCGAAAAGCAGTTCGAGGTCCCAGTGGTTCCTCCTACTGCACCGCGTCCTCACCGCTACCAGCACCCGTAAATTCAGCCACTGATCCCGGTTCTCCGGCAGATGGGGGATCGCTCCATCTGGGACAGGCGCTACCAAAGAAGTGATTAAGGCGCCCGGCCAGAGCTCCTGGGTCCCCTCCGCCTCTCATAGAGGGAACGGGCATCAGCACTGACTGCTGCAGCCGGGAAAGGTGGTCCAGATCTCTGCCAAGCTCTACGATCCTCACCGTGCAAGTGGGAAAAGGAGGGATGTGGTCTGAGCTACGGCCTGAGGTCTGCTGCAGGGAAAAAATATCACTGGGGAAATCCGTGCCCGCTCTCAGGAACGACAGAAACAGCAGAGGTAAGTGTTAAACTAAAGTTTATAAATTAAGAAAAAAAAAAAAAAACAACAAAACAAGTACAGCGGGTAGCTTACAAACATTCACAATTCATTTGAAGTAAATAATCTAGTTGAGTGCACAGTGCCATTAAAAGGGAAATGGAGGGGGAAAAAAAAGAAGGGGAAAAAAAAGCAACGAGTTACCTTGGAAGAAAGAGATTGTAATTACATTGCTGAGCAGATCAGAAACCCCCACCCCTGGAGGAGAGCTCTGCAGAAGAATTGTAAAAGGCACTGATGGTATTAAAGTTTCCTGTTACATCGATTTCTTAAAAAGCCTGACTAGAAATATTCACATTGAATATAAAAATAACAACAACTTTAATACATCTGGAAAGTGCGAAAAATCCATAACTCCTCCCTCCCCGAACACGGAAAGATCTCAGGAAAAAAAGGAAAACAAGAAACAAGAGTTTCAATAGAAGTCTCACCCTTTTTTGACATATTTATCCTTTGCCAGGGATCATGGAGTACAGAAATAACATGGGCAACAAGAGTAGGGGGACCTGAAAGAGGCTTCCATACATTCAGCACCATACAAGGCACACTCAGTTTGCAACAAGTTGGAAGACCAAGGACTCAGACGACAAAAATAATCTTCCTTACAATCCACTGAGGGAGTCCTTGATCTCCTCATTTGACTTGCATTTGGTTTTGCGGGTTGTACTTTTTTTTCCCTCTCCTTTGTTTTCTCTCTCTTTTTCTCCACACAAGATCGAGTCTCTACCCATCCGAAGCAAAATAAAACAAAGAAACAAAAAGTCTACACCAAATACACTGACAACATGGATACCATGAACAAGTTGTGCCGAATCGCGAGAGTCCTCGGCTGGCGGGATAGGGACAGGGTGAGGGTCAGGGTGGGGGTGGCCAAGAAGTCCTACGTTGAAAGAGTAGAGGGTGAGGAACCATCCAAAAATATTAATAATAAAAATAACAATAAAATAATAATAAATATTGTCCGAGGCACTGAGAGCTGCATCTGGGGCTCTGGACTTGAGAAGCTGAACGGATGGATTGATGGATGGGGGGGTGGCAGAGGGAAGATGGGTTTCCTGGCTGCCAGTGTGTATGGCGGGGGTGCCGGGGCCGGGGGGCTGTGTATGTGTGCCTCTCACTGGGTGCCGGCAGCTGCGGCGCAGGTGGACAGAGCCCACCCGGGCAGGCAGTAGTAGGGGTAGTAGTAGGATGGCTGGAGAGAGAGCAGCGAGGGCGGCCGCAGCACCTCGCCAGGGTGGTACTGTCTCTGGTCGTCGCGCACCAGCACCTTGACGGCCACCTTCTTGGCGGCGGGGGCGGCGGCCAGGAGGTCGGCGGCCATCTGCCGCCGCTTGGTTTTGTAGCGCCGGTTCTGAAACCAGATCTTCACCTGCGTCTCGGTGAGCTTCAGCGAGGCGGCCAGGTCGGCCCGCTCGGGCCCCGACAAGTAGCGCTGGTGGTTGAAGCGCCGCTCCAGCTCGAAGACCTGCGCGTGGGAAAAGGCTGCGCGAGAGCGCTTCTTCCGCGGTTTCGGAGCCGCCGCCGCCTCCTCCTCCCCCGGCAGCAGATTCCCGCACTTGCCCGCTCCGTCCTCTTCCTCCGGAGGGCTGCGATCTGCGGGCAGGGCGAGAGCACGGCGGTCAGGGCAGGCAGGCACCGGGACAGCGGCATCCGCGCTCCTCGCGGGGCCCGCACCCGCGCACAGGCGGCCAGGCGCGCTCCCTGCGGCCAGTCCGCAGCGACGGGGCGAGCGGAGAACCCGCCAAGTCGCTGCCCGCCCCGTCGCCGGGACAGCCGCCGGCAGCGGCCGGGGCTTCTCGCTCTCCTTTAAGCGCCGGGCGCCCTGGCGAGCTGCGGGCTCAGCCGGGCCAAAGGCCCTCCCCGATCCGCCCTCCCTCGCCCCGCGGGACGTGTTTCGGGGTTTCTCTCCCCCCCCGGCACAACCGAGCCTGTCGCACAATTCCGGGGAGCCGGCGGAGAGCCACGGTCATCTCCCGTTGCCAGCCCTCCGGGACCCTCCCGCCCTCCTCGCGCGGGTGCGGAGGAGCCGCCATCGGGGCCGCCCCTACCTGAGACGGCGGCCGACATCTCGCTGTCGCTGAGGCCGGTGGTGTCCCGCTCCGCCGCCTCCGGGGGCTGCGCCTCCTCCTCCGCCGGCCGCCCCCCGCCCGTGGCTTCTGCGAGGCGGGCGCTGCCACCGGCGCCCTCCTCCTCGGAGCGCCGCTCGCCCTCGGGGTCCTCGCTGAGCGCGGAATCCGAATCCCAGCCCGCTGGCGTCCGCGGGGCCGGGGCGCGGGCGGCGGGCGCGGAGAGCGGCGGATCCTGAGGGCCGCCCCGCCGCGTGGCGGGCGCGCTCCTCCTTCTTGTTGAGGATGGCTTGGATGGAAAAAGGCGTCAGGGCGTTGCCGCCGCGGACGGACATGGCCCGGCGACGGGCAAGCCCCGCGGACGAGCAGCGGACCGTGCCGCGCCTTCAGCTGGGCGACCGCATCGCCGGCCGCCGCCGCGCCGGTGCCGGGCCCTGTTCTGCCGCCGGGAGGGCGGGCGCCAGCGGGAGCAGCCTCTCTGCGCCACTGCCGGCCCGCCCGCCCATAGGGCCGGGGCCACCGGGGCCACCGCGCTGCGCCGGGCGCCGCCGCGGGTCCCTGGCGGCACGGGCGCTGCCTCCGCCCCGCTCTGTCCCGCCCCCGCCCGCCCTCCGCTTTTTCTGCCGGCGGCGCTGCCATCCCTCACGGCCGCCCGACAGTGCCGGCCCCGCGCCTTCCCATTGGGCAGCCCTCGCTCGGCCCGCCCGCCCATTGGCTCCCGCCGCGGGCCGATGCGGCTCCGCGGGGCGCGCGCCGGGGCGCGCCGTCTCTTAACCCCTTGCGGCCCGCGGGGCGCCCCCGCCTCCCGCGGCTGCCGCGGCCGAGGAGACCCTCGAAGGGACGGTCCCTCTCTGTGGCAGAAAGCGGCGGCTTCCACCTGGATAGTGCGGGATCGTGGTTCAGAGGTGTTTCCCCCCTCGCCGCGCCTCAGCAGAGCGCTGCAGCCTGGCGCCGGGGAAAGGTTCGGTCCCGACGGGAAAAGTCGCGGGAAGGGACCGACGCCGCAGCCTGGCGTGCATTGCTGCGTGCCCTGGGGATGGGCGTCGGAACTCGCCTGTTCTGAGTCTGTCGGGGGCCAAGACGCCGTGCCGGTGCGGCGGGATGAGCGCCCAAGTCCCCGGCCGCCCGCGCTGTCGGGGTAAACGCAAATCAGCCTCGGCCCGTTTTGAAAAATGCGGTTTTCGCTATTGCGTTTGTTTAAAAACACGGTCGGTTTTATATTAATACGGTCTTCTGTCTATGGGGCTTATAAAGCCCGTATTAGGAAAGCAATTTCTCGCAGATTAAACACTTTCCCCTAAACGATGCTTTCCCTAAAAGAAATCGGCCCTGCACAGGAAGACTTTGGAAACTATTACACGCACGTGAATTGTATATCTGCGACTCGTTGCCAAAACAACAATATGCTCCCGAGTATCATGCTTTCCTCTTTTTCAAATATTATTGGCATTCTCGGAGCTAATAAAAATGCCGGCAAGGGTATCAAGCAGGTACACGAGAAATGAAACGCCTGTGCTTCACGAACATGGGTGTTTGGTGCTGGTGAACGCGGCAACATAAGGAGATAAAGCACAGAAGAAAGACCCGCAAACCCGCTTTGCTCCATGAATTAAATTCTCAGGGCATCACCGGGCTTCTCCACAGGCGTGTGGCCACCGCCAACACCTCCCTACTTGACCTCACAGAGATGAACGTCGGTTTGCAGTAGACTACGAAGCGACAATAATTGATTATCAACGACTCTAAATGTTTTAAATAATACTTTTTACATCAAAAATAAATCAATAAAATACATAATCCCACTTTCATACACAGTGCAAAGCTGGAGAACATCTCTGCATGACGAAGCGGGAACTGTCTTTGTCTTTCTGAACAAACTCAGACCATTTTAATAACCCTGCTTGGACTCACCTTTTACCTAAATTTTTCCTAGGAAAGCCATCGCTTTGCCACCAAAGACTTCGGTATGACGATACACTAAAAAATATCCAAAGGGGAATTTTTAAGAGCTAGAGGTAAACAAGAAGCATTTAGGGAAGCTGCGAGAAATCCGCTTACGAGAATATACGTAGGGGGCTGGGAAGGGTGTCCTGCACGAGTGTTTTAAAGGCTCCTTAACAGCCAAGAGATGAAATTTGGGATGTCAGAAGAGATGAGCGGCCTCAGACGCGGGGACAGAGGAAGGGCTCCGCTCTTCCAAGGGGAAGGGCTGGAGGAGCGTGTCGTGGGAGCCGTGGTTTGGGTTGGCGGCCAGAAGGGGGGTCGGGGCACGCGGAGATGGGGGCTCCGGCCAGGGAGTCTCTTCATTCGGGCTCTGCTCAGCCGCGGCAGGGCGCTCAGACAGAGGCAAAGCGGGCGGCTGCCGGGGGCCGGCGAGCGGCGGGGAGAAGGGCGAGCCTCTCCCGGTGCAGCCTCCCGCCGTGCTCCGGCACACGGAGTTCCAGCCCAGGAAGACCCTGATTTACAGAGTTTCGTGCCCAAGCTGTTAAAATACCTGCATATAGTTTACAGTGGCTGTAATTCTTTGCTAATTTACTCAGCTCTTCTCTCCCCCCACCTCCTTTTCTCTTTTTCTTTCTTAATTTTTTTTCTTCCTCCGCCTACTCGGGCTATCTCTGCATCCTCTTTCTGGTCAGCAAACCTCTGTTTGGGGGAGGAAATGCCTGGGGAAGAGGCCGGGAGGAGAGCGAGCGGCAGCGGGGGTAAGGCGCAGAGGAGCGGCGGAGGGAGGCCGGGCAGGGCCGGCGTGCCGGGGCCGTGGGGCCAGCTGGGTGGTCCCGGCCCGCCCGGCCCCCAGCCCCGCCGGGGAGACGGGCAGTGGGAGGGAGGGAAGGAGGGAAGGAGGGATGGAAGGACGGATGGGGGGAGAGCCGCGGCCCGGCTCTGGCGTAGGGCTGGCAGCCGCTCCCGCCGCGCTCCAGCGGGGCGGCACCGGAGGGCGCGGGATGCCCGGCCACGGCGTGAGGGGACACAGGGCTCCTCCGAGTGTTCCACGGAGAAACCGGGAGCAAACTCTCCTCGCTGGAAAGGCTCGGAGTGGACATGATGGACGCAGTGGAGAGGCAGGGCAGCGCCTGAAACGGGCATATCTGAGGGGGGCACGATTCCCACCCTGCCTCCACCCTTGACAGAGCTCCGCACCTCGCCGTCTGGAAGCGGCCACAAGCCTTAATACACGCACCGTGATGTACATAACGCACGGGTCCGCCGGTTCTCGGACGTGTATTACATTTCAGCGGGGAAACACCAAACCCGCCGTGCCCACAGCTGCCTCTCCCCGCGCCCACCGGAGACCCCCGGCTCGCTGTCCGGGGGCCCAGCTCGCTGTCTCGGGGCCCGGCTCGCTGTCCGGGGGCCCAGCTCGCTGTCTCGGGGCCCGGCTCGCTGTCCCGAGCTCGGCTCGCTGTCCCGGGCCCGGCTCGCTGTCCCGGGGCCCGGCTCGCTGTCCGGGGGCCCAGCTCGCTGTCCGGGGGCCCAGCTCGCTGTCTCGGGGCCCGGCTCGCTGTCCCGAGCTCGGCTCGCTGTCCCGGGCCCGGCTCGCCCCGCTCTCCCTCCGCCGGCAGCGCAGCCGTGCCGGTGCCGCCGGTGGCCGGGCTGCCCCACCTAGAGGCGGCCTGGCCGCACTGCCCGGCCCGGGGCTGAGCTCGGGGCCGCTCTCGGCGGGGCCGCGGTGGCAGCGGGGCTGGGGCGGGCAGGGCGAGGCCGTGCGGACCCACGGGTGCCAAGGCACAGCCCCGCTGCCCGGTATCCAGCGACAGACCCCGGCGGGAGGGGAGCCTGCCTGGCTGCCGTGCGAGGTGGCTTCTCCCAGCCAGCGGAGCCGCTCTGCTTGCCAGGTGAGAGGCAGCCCCCTCGCAGAAGCAGTGCATATGACATGTGGGGTGATGAAATGGGGGAAGATATGTTCTGCTTATAAAAGCCTTTTTATCACATGTGAAAGCACGAGGAGGAAAGGTGGCTGCAAAACCTTAAAAAAGCCTTTGTAAAGAGCACAGACTTTCTCCATAATATATAACTTTGTATAAAAAGACCCAGATGATCCCGTGGGCGGGAGTACATTGCGCTGGGAAAAGGAAACGTTATAGCTTTTCCTTCAGGGCAGGATTTGTCCAGTATGGGAAAATAATTAGTGGTGTAATCTCCATGTGCCAGTTTTGGGGCAGAGCCAAGCTAGCACAGTACCTCTTCTGCCTTCCAAGCTCTTCTCGGCTCTGAGGCAGGCCAAGGAGTTTCATGGCCAGGGGCTACCACACACTGTAGCCCTCTTGGCAGCACCTCCCAGAGCCTGCATGGTGGTAGGTATTACTTTTGCCATACCTTATTAGAAGTGATTTTTTTCTAGACACAAGCTGTCTCCCCAAACTAGTTTTCCTTCCGATAGAGCAATGCAAATCCTTGCTGAGTCTCCTGCTGGGTCTTTCAGGGACTTAGGTAGAAGATGGCAGTGGTACAAACAGTGCTTCCTTCTGTAAGAAATTTGAATCCCTCGTTGGTAATGGGGAAGATTTCTTTCATGGCTTTTACCTCAGCTGTGCTGCTCTCTGACTGTGCAACAAAGGCACACAAACATATCCTGGACAACTTGCTGGATTTGCAGGAAAATCTTATGTCATCCGCTTTTGAATGGGTTTTGACTCTATTTCTTGAATTATACCAATTTATTTCCAACAAATGCAACTGTAACTACACAGTAGGTGACAGCTGTACATCTCTAAACTACTTTCCTGTCAAGATTTCTTCATGTATTTCATGAGGGATCTCATATAAGTAATTGCTGCAACACTCAGTCTTCAAATTGCTTTTTACAGATGACATCAGGATCCTGTGCTGTTGCTGAGATGTCAACTGTAGGATGCTTCCAGACGTGAGTGAGAGAAGGATTTACCTTCCACAATTAAGAGAAAAATTTGAATGATTTTTAGAATTCAACTGAATATGTGCAAATATAATGCTGACAATGAGAACTTTATTCTCACTAATGTGACAACCTTTTAACAAATTAGCTCAGTAGGTTTTAATAGCTGCTTTACAATCCCTTTCATTCTTTTATGGGGAAAAGCCCATGTCCTTTAGGGCTGGGAGGCTCGAACAAAAACACTTCTACAGGAGTTTACAACCAAACTGAAAAGAATGCTTGAATTTTGCTGGTTGCATATAAACAGTGACACAATTTCGCCCAGTTTTATTTCTCAGAGATGCTGTTTCTGGGAAAACCAGCCCAAATCTCCCTCTTCTTGCTTCATCTTTACACTAACAAGTGAAGGCTTGGCATGCAGAGTACCGAGCATGAAAATAAACCTACCAATACTTCATTTCACTGCATGGCAATTTCTCCTGAATTATTCCTCCTTGCAAGACCTTGAAAAGACATGCAGGCTGTCTAACCACATCATGCTCTCAGGAAGGAGTGGAGCTGCATGGTTGTGTCTGATGCTTAGTGCCAGGAGGCAACAAGTTCTGTACACACTGAGAGCCCTGTCCCACAACTCCCTGCAGGCACCACCAGCCTTTGAAATAAATCTTCTCTTTGACTGTCTCCTTATTTCTATGCTAAGTTTCCTACTAAAGACATAAAT